CCCCCCCCTTAGTTGTAGCATAAATCTGCGAACGTGCCTTAAACCAGGCATTCGTAGCAGAAATCATGTTGCACGTGCGTTTCCCCAATAAACGAGCGCTTTCGGGACTTTGCTGCTGTGTGGATTGCTTGCATGATGAAACCGCAGTTCGGGCTATGATCATAGCCCACTTGTTGGCCATAGGGGCCGCAGGCCCCTTCCTTTCCGGAAAATCATCCGGTTGTGTACACGTGCGCCCCCCCCCGCTGTATGTGCAATGTATGTAGAAGAAGAAGCAACCGGTCGCCGTCGCAGAATAACCTCAGCTGCTTCGAGAGGTACATGATGCGACTGCAACGATCTTGAGGTGCAGTTTCTTTCGAAATTCGGGCTGGGATTGATCGTGCTTGATTGGAATCAATGCAAAGCTATTGTGATGATCTGTGCTGTTCCGGCTCCTAGGGGTCTCGTAGGATTGGCTGTGCGGCATTTTGCTGCGTAGCACAATGGGCTCACCGGTGGTCCAGTACTGGCTAGCCAATGCGGTGCTAAGCAATCGCGGGGCTGCGGGATGTTTGACTTTGATCGCTGGAGATAGGTTGGGGCGAAACGACTGCATGAACAATGCTCAGTGCATCATTCCTGTTCTTCGCTTTCACGGAATGCGCCCAAGTGTGGATGCTATTGCGCAAGAAGTTCATGCTTTTTTCCAGATGGCTAGACCTCGAGGAAAGCCAGCAATCAAAAGCTGCTCACCCGCACAAATAGCCAAGTAGCCTTGCAGAGGCAATTTGTAACCATCTTGAGCTTCATGTAGTCGTTGTAGCCCTGCATTTGTGGACATTATAGCTTATAATAGCTGAGGTGAGCAGGTACGAATGCAGGCCTGGATTCTCAAACGACTCATTTCTATATTTGGGCGTGCAGCACGCCGTGGACATGTGCCGCGAGAGCAAGCCATGAGGAAAATATACGAGGCAGCGGGGATTCCGCTGCCTCAGAGTGCCCCTCATGCAATATACCGAATGATCCATGTTCTACCTCATGGTTTCTAAAGCCTAATCGAAAAACCATATCCGAGGAGCCAGTGGCGAGTCATCTTCGGGAGATGAAACCGACGAAGATGAGAACTCTGAATCAGAGTCTGACTACAGTGAGGACCCTGCCTTTCTTCGTCTAAAGCCTTAAACCCAATGACTATGAAACCGCAAAGCCTACACCCCCTGAAAGTACCCAGATATGTGCACGTATTGAAAACTCACCCTTGTTACAATCGCGAATGATGCACAACACAGAGGACCTAGCAGAAAACTACCCTAAGCCTTAAAAAACCCTGCCTAAACCGATCAGGACGACCCAGTGAAGGAGCCCGAGCCCGAGCGCAAAGGTGCCTCGCTTAAAGCTAGTCTAGCTTAAGACCCCTCTGAGACCCAGCCTCATCCAGGTTCCAAGCATCCGTCCGATGCCTCGGAGGTCAAGGAGTCGGGAACAACGGCTTCCGATCTGCCTCGTCTGAGTAGCCGAAGCATGAGTTCTTTAGACAACCCTTGGGTTTCGGAGCCGAGTGCAAGCCTCACCCCGACCGAGAGAGAATCCCCTCTGTCTGCTGATGATTGCCCCTCTACCAGAAGCTTGTATGCATTTGCAATCATGTACAAGTACCAGTCGATCGTAATGCAAGCTCAAACCTACCCCGAATCGATCCGAGGAGATCGCCCGTTGCCGCCGGTGCCCCACTTCCTTGAAGCCTCGGAGGCAGAGAGCATCATGGCCGAGCTGGCTCATCAGGAGGCTGTGCTTAAGGAGTTGCAGGTCATGGAAGAGCTTCATGCAGAGGAACTTGAGTTGGCCAAGTTGCTTTCTTGCTTGGAACTCGAGCAGACACCCAATGCCCTGCCACCCTCCAAGACCACAATCTGCTACTCGGCTACCTAAACTACATATATGTACGTATGGTAGTGTGCACGATATGTATGCATGGTGTACCTATCGATCTGTCTCTCAGGTCCCGATCAGGTGGACACCCTCCCCATGTCCTGGGATGATCCCACCAGTGCGGCTTGGGCTCCTCCGGTTGAGCCCTTGTTGGAGGATGCCTCGAAGCTTGAAGCTGATAGCTGGGCAGAGCTCGGCTTGCACCCGTATGATGGTGATGGTCAAAGCTGCGACGCAAAGCCAACACTTCTACGAGCTCAGCACATAGACGAAGGCCCAGGAGTTGCTGTGGCTGCCGCAGAAGAGGTTCCCGCGCCCCCCAGCGCAGCAGCATCTGAGGAAGATGCCATCATGGATGATTGTGGTGCAGAGCAAAATGCTACTGAGCCTACCGGTTCTGAGCAAGATGCCGTCATGGATGATTGTGGTGCAGAGCAGAGTGCTCCTGAGCCTACCGGTTCCATGGCTGAAAGTGCTGTCGCAGATGACACCGCAGCAGATGCTGTCACAGGTGGGCCCGATACCGAAGCAGATCAGCGCGCTCCAAAGCCCTCGAACCCGGGTGCTATGCCAGATGGTGAAGCCGAGCGGGCTTCGTTGGAGCCCCCTGCTTGCATGGAAACACTCATGCCCATCTCGCCACAAGAGCAGACAAAGGCTCTGGGGACGTCGGGGCGAGGTCAGCGTGGTCGTGGCCGTGGGCGCGGCCGTGGCCGTGGCCGTGGCCACAAGAGTGGATCTGAGCCTGAAGCTGAAGATGAGAACTCCGGCGAGTCCGATGATGGCGGTGCCAAGCATGCTACCGTGAAGAAGGCTCCGAAGAATGGAGCGACTGCCAAGGCTAAGAGCAAAGCCTTGGCCAAACCCAAGGCCAAGGCCAAGGCTGCGGGGAAGGCCAAGGCGAAGGCGAAGACCAAATGCAAGCCAGTTGCCAAGCCTGACACTGATGAGGATGATGAGATGGAGAGTGAGAAAGACGAAGCAGCGGAGAAGCAGCCCGCCAAGAGGAAACGACATTCCAGCAAGGAGTTGGAGCACTCGGCCAAGAGGGCTAAGTGCACGGGGGATGCACGTGACGACGCATCGGACGAGGAGGACGACAGCCCGTTTGAAGCCGGCTTCAGGTTTGTTGGATCTACCAAAAAGCTATCCAAAGCAGCCAAGAAGGCTGCTGTCGCAAAGGCCGGTGGCAGGTGTGGCAAGAAGGCAGCCAAGGCTGCTGAGGATGGCGACAAGAAGACGAGCAAGGCTGCTGAGGATCGCGACAAAAAGTCGACCAAGACTGGTGAGGATCGCAAGAAGCCGGCCAAGGCTGCTGAGGATCGCAAGAAGTCTACCAAGGCTGGTGAGGATCACAAGAAGTCTACCAAGGCTGGTGAGGATCGCAAGAAG